GGGGGGGTCACAGAGGGGAGGGCAGCCTGGGGGGTCACAGAGGGGAGGGCAGCCCGTGGGGGGTCACAGAGGGGAGGGCAGCCCTGCAGGAACACAGAGGGGAGGGCAGCCCGTGGGGGGGTCACAGAGGGGAGGGCAGCCCTGCAGGAACACAGAGGGGAGGGCAGCCCGGGGGGGGTCACAGAGCGGTGGGCAGCCTGGGGCCGGCCCGAGTCTCTGCCAGGCTTATCTGTTTGCTTTTCACTCAACATCCGTCCGGGGCCGGGAGCGGGTTGGGGTGTCGCGCTCTCTCGTCACGCGCCGCTCCCCGCTGGCCTGGCCCAGGGAGGCCTTGGACTCGGGCCTGGACGCTGGACACAGACAGGCCCAACCCTCAGCCTGGACTATTGGGATTTGGTTGAGGGGGCTGCGGCCCTGAGCACCGGCCAGAGCAGCGTTGGGGGTTTACAGATGCGACGTCTGCACTCAGGTTTGGGGTATCCAGATTGCTGGCGCCTCCAGAGTTTGGGGTGTGCAGATGAGCACCTTGGTCTCCACGCACTGTGAATCAGCGGTGCCTGGTCTGGGGGTGACACACAGCGGCCCCCGGGCCTTTCCTGGGACACCTGCCCCAGCAGTCCCTGGGGAGATGGGCACAGTGTCCCTCCTCTGCCCGTTTGGTGGCACTGGGCCCGACCCCTCTCAGAGCTGCCTGGTAGTGGGTGGCGCCCGGGTCCACCTGCCCAGGACACTGACCCCCGACCCCATACTTCTAGGCACAGAAGCACAGCTCGGGCCGGCTTACCCGTCCCCTCCCCACCGGGCCATTGCCAGCTGGGGTGCAGGGCGTGGTGGAGAGGCCCATGGACCCTCAGCCTGGGAGAGCCGGGCCAACGCAAGGCCTTCCGGTACATTCTGGAGGACAGATCGCCCCTCCTGGGCAGAGCCCTCACCCCCCCCCCCCGCACGCAGGCCTCACCCGCTGCGGCTGAGTGGCTGGAGCCTAAGTAGAGACGTCCCGGCCTCTGAGCGTGCAGAGGCTGCGGGGCGCGTGGGGGCCTAGCAGGCACCGAGGGAGGGGTGGAGGTGCCCTCCCTGCCGGGCCCGCCTGGCACACGGCACCACCGACGGCTCGAGGTTGGGTCCACGGGGCTGGTCGAGCGCCATCAGCACCTCGGTGGGGCAGAGGTGGGCAGGATCTGACGCACCAGGGGGCACCGGGCACCCACCGGTGGGCCCAGTGGGCGGGGATCCCGGCAGGGAGGACCCACGGGCAGAGGGGTACAGGCCGGGGGGAAGCTGCCCAGGAGTCAGGGGGAGGGAGACAGGGTCCCCGCTGGACGGGCAACGATGCCCTGACCCTGCTGGGTAGCAGGGCTCAAGGCTGGACTGGGGACACCGCTCCCCCTCGCACCTGAGGCCCCTCCACCGCGCCTGGTCCGAGGTCGGCTGGTGTCCGCCTTCGCTCCCAGCCCAGTGCTGCCCTGACACTGCCTGGTCTCCAGGGCTTCGGCCAGGTGACCTCAACACCACACCGGGGCAGACAGGGCCATGAGTTCTACTCCAACCACAGGACGCCTTCAACCGGCCACACCGGCCAGTCACAAAGGGGACACCACCGCGGGGAGCCCCCAGGGTACTGCTCAAACACTGCCAAGCCATCCCACGCACTCTCCAAACAAAGCCAGGCCCGCGCCTCTATCTGAGGGTGACCGGCAGCCAAGCTCAGGGGCAGCTACCCAGGTGCCAGGCCGGCCAGGCAGAGCCCCACGGCAGGGACCAGCAGACAAGACAGGCGGTCCTAGATGGAGAAGAGGCGCCAGGCCCCGGGCTCGAGGCTTCCCCCTGTGGTGGGAGGCAGATCCCGAGCCTGCTCCGCAGCCTTCGGGGAGCCGCAGCTGGGGCTGGTATGAGGACACTGTCAGAATGTCCACCTGAGCAGTCTGCCCACCGCTGCCTCCCAGTGAGCCCAAGCCGTCTCTGCCGGGACACACAGCCGATTTGGGGCAAGCCTCTCTGGGCCTCAGGACCCCCTCCAAACCCCGTCTCACAGCCCAGCCGGGGCCCCGGGTGAGCGCTGCCGAGGGCCCGGACACACAGACAGACACAAAGGGCCAGGTGTGAGCCCGTGTGGAAGTGGACAATCGCCCCTTGTGCACCTGCCGGTGCGGCGCTGCCAGGCCGGCAGCGGGCCGGCTTATCGCTGTGATTGCAGGAACAATGGTCCACTCAATCTTATCTCAGAGGCAGAGCCCTTCCACAGGGCGCTCAGGCGCTCCAAGTCAAGGGACAAAACCGCCATTCAGCAGTGATTCCTGCCAAGCCGGCATCTGCAGGAAAGAGCGGCCGGCGCCTCCCCAGGCCCTGACAGCAAAGCTCACCAGAACCATCTGCTCCCACAGGCACACAGCCGTGCCCAGCCCAGATGCACAGCTTCAGGAAACCCAAGCTACGTCTCACTCCAGGGTGTGCACGTGCACACATGCACACACACAGGTACATATTCACAAATGCAAACACACATGCACACTTGTACTGCAGACAAGCACCAGACATGCACACGCACGTACACGTGCACACATGCATATCCACAGGTGTGTACGTGTCCACATACACACCCATGTGTGTGCATGTACACACTCACACATACAGCATGTGCACATGTGGACGTGCATAACATGTATGACGTTGCACATAGATGTACACGCATGCAGACATATAAACAGATGGTCAGACAAGCCCCGTCATCAGGTACCGAGGTCCTGGCCACGCGGGGTCACACACCGCTGCCCAGTGGCTGTCCTCCACAGGGCCCCACCCAGGGCCCAGGGCCTTGATGCCCACCTGGGGCCTGCTCAGAGGCGCAGCTGTGGTACGCGGGCCCCGGTGTCCCTGCACTACTGGGCTGTCATGGGGTGAAGGCCCCTCTGATTCTCAGCTTCATTCCTGAGCAGGTGCTGCTGAGCCTGTTGACAATGACTGCAAACGGGACACCCAGAAAGAGGAGCCAGAGCAGCGGACAACCGCCCACAATTACAGGGGTCACCTCAGAGTTATTCCTCTTATGCTATTCTTGGTGCTGGGTATCAAACCCAGGGCCTGGCACACACTGGGAACATGCTCCACAGAGCCACGCCGGACCCAGGGTCCTGCAGTGCTGAAGTTCTCTATGGTGACACAGCACCCCCAGCTTCTGTCTCAGCATCTCCAGACCTTCCAAGGACAGGCAGAGTGGCCCTGAGGACCCCGGGCCTGCAAGACGGGGTCACAGAGGCCAGAAGAGGCCAGCGCCAAGTCCAGAACTGATGGCTCAGGTAGTCTGTGGATGAGAGGCTGGTGTGTGGGATGGGGTCTGGTGTGTGGGATGGGGTGTGTGGGATGGGGTCTGGTGTGTGGGATGGGGTGTGTGGGATGGGGTATGGTGTGTGGGATGGGGTCTGGTGTGTGGGATGGGGTCTGGTGTGTGGGATGGGGTGTGTGGGATGGGGTCTGGTGTGTGGGATGGGGTCTGGTGTGTGGGACGGGGTCTGGTGTGTGGGACGGGGTCTGGTGTGGGGGACAGGGTCTGGTGTGTGGGATGGGGTGTGTGGGATGGGGTCTGGTGTGTGGGATGGGGTCTTGTGTGGGGGACGGGGTCTTGTGTGGGGGACGGGGTGTGGTGTGTGGGATGGGGTGTGTGGGATGGGGTCTGGTGTGTGGGATGGGGTGTGTGGGATGGGGTCTGGTGTGGGGGATGGGGTCTGGTGTG